TGGGGGTGCAGCTGATGGCTGCGCATCGGGTCCTGGAGGGGGAGGGAGCTTTCCGTCTCACCGGAGCCCCGCCCCGTGCTGGGCTCTATAGCTGGCGGGGCACCTGTGTCCTCACACATAGCGACCGCTCTGCCAGGACGGCGGGGCTGTGCCTGCGTCTGGGTGCCCTCACCCAGCAGATGCCTTCCCTCTCCTCGGGAGCTGCAGACACCACGGGTGGCCTTTCCCTTTCCCGGAGGCGCTGTCTAACCTGAAGCTGGGCACTCCGGAGCACAGCGAGGCTGGGGCACGTGAGGCTGGGGCGTTCTCGAAGCCCCCAGCCCCCAGCCCCCCCTCCCCCCCAGCAGGGGATTGCTTCCAGCAGGAACCAGGCTCTGTGCCCTCACCCAAGGGCCTCAGCCTAAACCTCTCTCTCACGTTCTGTATCCAATCTGTAAATCCCATTGGTTCTACCTTCCAAGCAAGCCCTGGGCCCAGCCTGTTCTCATGCTTCTGCCCTCACTGGAGGCGCTGCCACCCAGTTGGGATGAGCCTCCCTTCATCCCTTCCTGGCCCCTGTGCTCCAGGCATCTTTCCTGAGACCCCCTGGGCCTCAGAGGGGCGGTGTCTGAAGCCCTTCCTGCGCCAGTTGGTTAGTCTCTCCAGGCCCCGCCACTCCCCCTGGATAAGCAGTAACTTCAGCCGAGGACGCTGTGGGAGAGGTCCCTGCATCTGAGGCTCTCACCTCTGTCTGTCACCTCCTCCAGCAGTTAGCGCACATGCTTCTAAGCTGCTGTGCGGTTGCCTTTTCAGACGTAAACTGACAGCGCTTCCTGAAACAGCCCTGCCCCTCAGAGAGCACCTCTCTCTTCTTGAGGAGCCCGTCAGCTGCCCTGGGGACCGTGCCACCCACCCTGGCTGGCCCACTGCTGCACACACTGCCCCAGGCCCTTTCTCCAAGCCTCTGCCTGCATCTGCAGCGTGGCCATCATGGTGTCCTGGCTGCCAGGGGGCATAGCCGTGGGCCTCGCCTGGAGCCTCCCTCCTGCTCCCCTCGACACCCCTGGAGTTAGTCCATTGCAGTGTGACTGCCTGTGGCTGTCACACACCCAGGTGTGGAGGCAGGACTCGGGGGGACAAGCACCTGCAGTTCCAGCCGTGGGTCAGACCTGGTGCAAGCCTGTGGCTAAATTCTAAGATTGGAAAGCTGAAAACAGGTCTCTGCACCTTGTTCAGCAAAGGCCGTAAGCACTCTGCCCCCTCACTTTTACAGCAAATGTCAGAACACAGGTCAAAAGAGCCCCGTGTCTGAGTGAGAACAGCTCTGGTAAGTGGCGGAGCCCTCGGCAGCGGTCCGGCCTCCCACCAGGTTCCAAAGCTCCACCAAGTATGGGTCAGTTTCGGCCGCCAGCCCACTCAGTAGCCTGGTGTTTCACATGGCTGAGGTCCTGGAATAAGAGTCACGTACGTAGATAGTGTCTGTTGCCTGAAGCTTAGTCTTCTGTGTTCAGAAGTCTGCTCTGTTAGTGAATGAGAATCTGCAAGTCCTGCCAGCAGTTGAACTTTCTTTAAATTTTTTTTTTCTTTATTGATTTTAGAGAGGGAGAGAGAGAGAAACATCGATGAGAGAGAGAACATCGATTGGCTGCCTCCTGCATGCCCCCCACCGGGGATCCCACAACCCGGGCATGTGCCCTGACCAGGAATCGGGCTGGCGACCTCTTGGTGCATGGGTCGATGCTCAACCCTGAGCCACACCAGCCGAGTGAACTTTTTTAATGGGGGAACTTCTAGCTCTAGTTTGGATTTCAGAAATGGCCCTGCAAGCACAAGCCCGTTTGAGCCCCCGAGTGCCCGGCAAACAACCCCTTCTGGGCGTGGGCTCCATCCTGCTGTGGAGGTGACCTCCGTCCCATGCACCGTCGCTTGTTAGCGTGTTTACTGTCTGATGTTCAAATGCCCAGAGGTGGTATTTTACAGACGCACGGCCCTGCCCCTTCCCAGGGCGTCTTTAGCTTTCTTTCCTGTCACACACTTTTCACTCTCTGCCTCTCGCCTTTCATTTCCACATGATGAGCGAGCGCCTCCTGTTGCTGTGTCCAGAAGGCCAGAGAGCGGGCATCCGAGGCCCCCTGCCCTCCCCGTGTCCACGTGGTCCCCTCCATCCCTGGCCCAGAGCAGGTTTTATAAAAGGTTATTGTCAGAGCTTCATGCTATTTTGATACTTTCCTGTGGTTTCTTTCAAAAGTAGATGATTGAGTTTAACTTAAAGTAACCATTGTATTTTTGATACCAACAGATAAATGGTTCTCTTGAGTGAACTATAAGAACACGTTTTGTTTGCCATCTCTCGGTCACAGAGGAGGAGGGGGAATTATGGAAATATGTCTAGACAAGTGTTTGCATCTGTCTGCGAGGCCAGGGAACAGGCTCGGGTGTCCGGTGAGCCAGCGAACCGGCAGCTCCCCAGGGAGCATGCTGAGGGACCTGGGCCTCGAGCCCACGGGACTTTTCTCCTAAATGCTCATCGTGGAGGCGGCAGAGCCCTCCCCACCCCTCCCCCTTCCCAGGTAGGGCCCAGGGTGCCAGCTGCCGAGCTGTGAGGCGGCAGGGGCCTCTCAGAGGCCTGGTGGTCGGCCTGCTGGGGCGTCTGGCTGCACGGCGAGGGAGTCTACCTCGGGTCGGAGCAGACCCAGGTCTGGCTGCAGCTCTTAGGGAACAAGTACATAAGTGTGTAGTTATAGGACTTTGTGTATTTCAGGGCTTTAGCACATTAGTTGGTCCAAACCTTGCAGCCACCAGGAGGTGCTGTCAGGCTCCCTCGAGCTCTGGAGGAGGAGTGGAGGTTCGGAGATGGACAAGGCAGGCTGTCCGTGCGCCGTGCCCTGTGCCTGCCTGCTGGCTTTCAGATACGAGCTGGCAGAGGTGCCCCCCAAGGACAGCATGTTGTTTAGGTACCCGGTTAGGGGCCTCATCCTCAGAAGGCTCTGACTCTTTCTCCAGCCCGCTCCATCTCAGGTTCGATCAGGGAGATTTCTAAAGTCTGTCCCCGCTTTCCTGAAACACACTCTTGGGGCAAGGCTCGGAAATCCGCATCTTGATGTGGTCTGATGAGGGTGGCTGGTAGCCCTGCTGTGCCAACCAGCTCTGCTCTCAGAGGCCCTCGGGTGATTCTAGGGACCGAGTTCATCTGGTTTGTTAATTCTGTCTTTCTTCCAACCCGAAACAGGAACAGATCATCAGTCTGGTTAATCAGATCTGCGGCAAGGTATCTGGTAAGAACGGCAGCATGGAGAACTGTCTCAGTAAACCGACACCAAAAAGGGGGCCCCGCAAGCGAGCGACGGTGGACGTGCCGCCCTGCCGGCTGCCGCCCAGTTCATCCAGGAGCGCCGCCAGCTCGTCCTGAGGCCGCCGCCGCCGCCGCCAACTGAGATCTATTTTTTGTAATTATTATATTCTAGTTTGGAGTACTTGCTGTAGGATACAAGCTGTCTTTGCACTAGCTCTAAAGAAGATTTTCTTCTGGTTTTAGAGAACTAATTTTGTTTTAGCATTAAACTGTTGAACTTTTTTTTGTACTTAGAATACCTAGATACTGCAGTCGGATTTTTTGAAACTGCCGTATATTCACTGTTTTAAAACCCTTGAGGGGCCGTGTTAATTTGTATCGCCCCTGTGGCTGACAAAAGCCTTTTTGTTTGATTTTTTTTTTTTTTTTTAACTGTTGGGGAAAAAAGGCTTTTAAACCCATTTTTGAAGAGGGTGAAGTTTGGAGAACAAATTTTAAAACCATCAGTCATGTGAGCAGATTTTTCTAGAGAGCAAAAGGGATAGGAGACACACACACACACACACACACACACACACACACAAAACTTGAAAAGAAATGGCTTTACTTTGGCTGTCTTTTCTTCAGTCATGTGCAAGATGAGTTTGTAATTTTTAAAACCGGAGAACCCCACTTTGTTTCTCGGGCGCTGTGGCAGCTGAAGCAGACGTTTCCTACCCACGGGCAAACGGGGCGAGCGGAGTGCCGAGGTTCTCTCTACCAGCACATCACTATGCATCTGTCTAAGGAAGAGCGGAGCGGGGAAGACTGCCTGCCTTGGAGGGGTCACGTGCGGAAACCTGTGCCTGATTTCATTAGGAAATCCATTCTGTTATTTTTTGGTGCTGTTGGCTACTTTATCAAAAAACCCTTCAATAGCATCCTTAAGGAAAAAAAGGAGAAACGTGATTGGAGCCGTAAGTGCTTCCTTGTCATAGACGTGCAATCTTTCTAACATTCCATCTCATCTCACTGCTTGTCACACCACACCGTCAGCATTAATCTTCTCACGTCGTTTCGTTGGTCTCACTTAGAGCCGCTAGGAGGTCTGCAGTTCTTTTTGAATGTGAAAACGCATTTGCGCTCATCTTGTCTATTTTTTCTCTTCATGTTGTAACAAAAAGAAAAAAGAAAAAAAAAAGAATCCCATCCTTTTGTACATACGCCTGTAAATTGTTTTAAATACTTGAGCCTTTTTCTCAGTGGGAGTGGGGAGGGGGGTGAGAAGACAAGATGAAGAAAAGCCTTACATTTCAGTTTCTTCATCGGTTGGATTGGATGCTTACAGGGTTTTTCTTGTAACATTTATAAGTGCTGCTTACATCACTGAACAACAACAAAAAAATAATAATGGAGTAGCTGTTGCCCTTCTCCGGTTGTGTGTACAGTCTGTGTGGAATAAAGAAGGGAAACTGTTTTCACAAGCTGTTCTTTGTTTCATAATTGGATTCATCGATCCCGTAGCTACCCATATTGCACTGAGCTTGCCAGTGGGACTGTCAGGAACGTCCTGTGATCCACTTTGTTGGTTGTTGTTGCAGAAGACTGAACTGTTTTGGAATATTTAACAATTACATAAACAGAGTCAAGTGTTTTCCAATGTGGTTGTCTGGTTTTTATGGCCTTGCTGTGTACTTTCCCTCCTTTGACAGTAAACTTCTGCCTACGGCTTACAGTTTGGCATTTAATTTATTAGCGCTGCTCTGCACCCCTCCCTCGGGAGGGAAGACTTCATGTTGTTTATTGCCAGTTTTTTGTTTACTTTTCAGGTTTGTACTACAAGGTTTAATAATAAAAACAAAGTTTTTTGGACATTTGTCTTGTGGAAGATGAGTGAATGAAATGAGCTTTCTTTCCCGGTCAATGGGCAGAGGGCGCGAACCCTCCCCTCGGCCAGTGGCGCAGACAGCACAGCCTGGACCCACTCACTTTCCATCTGCCGGCGGCTGGATCCCCTTTGAGCAAAGCCAAATGCCTGCTGCCTGCATCTTGTTTTCTGTGGGCCACTGGGAACTGCTAGTGGCCCTTCTCCCAGGAAGCCGCCCCTTGGCTGGGTGGAGGGCTCCTCGTCCTGCCTGCAGGGGGCGCCCCCTCAATAGGTGCTGAAAGGGGGGACCCAACTCTGTGGGGCCAGCTCCTTGTCAGGAGAAAGAGTAGCAGATGGGTTTGCTTACGTTTATTTCCCTTCCTTCAGGCCCAGACGTGTGTACTGTTAAAATAGGGGTTATTTGTTGAATTGTTAATACTTTTGTAATGATCAGATGAAAACCCAAGTTTTGTTAGAGCCACGTATGACTAGTTACATTCAGGGGAAGCAGACCTCTCTCTGGGAAGGGCTTCTGCTGAGCCCACGAGGGGATGACTCCTGGCCCAGCCACCCTGCAGGCCCCTCGGGGGCTCTAAAGCTTGAAGGATGTGTGTTTGGAGGCCTTTTCTGTACAGACTGGCCATGTACCCTCTCAGTTTGAAGTCCTCAAACTTTATTGTTAGCTTTTCTTCTGTCAAGTTTCTCACAAATTATTGGCAACTGTGTGACAATCAAGAGCCTTCACAGTGGGATTCTGAGCACAGCTGGCCTTCCTTAAATGCGCTCAGAGAAGGGGCTGCCGGACTTAGGAGTCACTGTCGTCGGTGTGTAAAGTGGCAAGGGCAGTGTCCACCTCAACGCCCTCCTCATCAGACTGGACGATGGGAGACTCCCCACCTTCACTGCAGTCCTGGGTGGCTGGGTCATTGCAGGTGGAGGGTAAGGAAGGTGGCTGAGCTCGTAATTCAGAGGGATTTGGAACCTGAAGAGTAATTTCATTCTGACCAGTACCTGATTCAGGCCCTGCAAAACAGGAAAAACGCTGTGATGAAAGTATTGTACTTTAGACTTGCCACTGCAGATGGTGGTCTGAGCTCATGCTGCCATAGCTGGCGTCGGTCTTTGGTTGTGGTGGGCTGGGGGCTGCAGAATGAGGCTAAGCTAGGCGACCCCAGAGTCATCCGGGGGCCTGAGCGGGCCCTGCCCCTCACAACATGGAAAGACCCTGGACCCTTCCCGCTGTGTCCAGCAGGATCCCGAGCCGCAGGCCCAGCGCGCACCGCACCCACGGGAACCTGGACTCACTTCTGTGACTTTGGGAGTAATTCAGAGAAGGCAATGCTGGGAGAAAAATTTACTCTTCATGAAATTAGAGAAATGCTAGAAAGATTAAGTTCTTAAGGAATCAAAGTCATGCAGATGATGGAGTCACTGTTTCTAAATCTCTGACTCCCAGCGTCCCAGCCTCTCAGCACGGGTGCCCCTCCCGGGACAGCACTGTTCTCACAGATCTGCTGGAGAAGAGGGCTGAGAAGCTGCCAACAGCACTTGCTGGCAGGCACGCTAAGGGCTTGACCTCAGCCCTGGAGCCTGCAGAGCTGGGGGCCGTCCCGAGGGCCGGGCGCTGCGCTCTCCTCCCCTGTGTGTGTGCAAACCTCAACACTCTCTTTGTCATGACGCATCTATAAGGAAACCCACCCCAGTCTAGTCTGAAATTGGGAATGAAGGGAGCCCAGGGGTAGGTCTGGAGCCTCAGCAAACACTGGCTGAGTGAATGTGAACTCTGGGGAAGGCGTGAAGTGCCCAGGGCTGCAACCCTGTTTAAAAAGTATAAGCCAAATGCTGAACACACATCTTGGCCTTGCTCACAAAAGAGATGAAATAAACACCAGCTGAATGAAGGAGGGGGGAGTTTAAAGATGTCAAATTCATGCTCAGACCAGCACGAGGTGTGTGAGCCACACAGGAGAGCTCCCACCTTCCCCTAAATTCCAGTCTTTAACCACAAAAACTCCTATTCTGAGACGGAGGAGCTAGGGTGCGGGTCAAGAGAGGCCTGCTCTGGGATGGTGTCTGGGCAGCACTTCTCCTCGAGAAAGCCCCGCCCAGGCGCGGGGAAGCCGGTGCGGGGAGCAGGCAGCTAACTGGCTTAGGAACATGTACATTTCTGCTCTGTTGTCCTCCCTCTGAAGGGGAATCATGTTGATATGAGACTGTGTATGCAAGTCTGTCACCTCCTACCTAAGACGGGGGACAGCACAGCATTATCTTCTCCACCTGAATTCAAAAAGACATCCAGAGCCTCCTGGTCAGAGATGTCCATCAGGTCCATCTGCTCCAGCATGTCGATGTTCACCTCCATGGACGACATGCTGCCCATGGGCTCTGGGAAGGGAAGGACACATCATCTTCAACAACACTCTAAAAGGTGAACTTCGATCCACTAGGCTAACCACTGTATTTCCTAGATATAAAATACCTCCTGCTACTTCTAACTTTGAAAACAATTAGGAGCAATATAGTAAATGACACATCCCAGTTTGGTGCTTTACACCCATCCTAGATTAAACTAGGTGGCTATTCCCTTCCACACCTTCCCTAGTAGGAGGTCTTCACCCTCAGCCCTCTGCCTGCAGGTGCTGCAGACACCGCTCTGCACCGGGCAGCTCCTGGCTGTTGGGAGCAGGGTGCTGTCTGGAAGAGCTGACATTCCTGTAGCGGCGCCAGGTTGACAAGCTGCCACCACACACTCTGCTCTGCCCGCCACTGCCCCACAGTTAGCACTGCAGCTGAAGTTTCCACTGCCCCTGTGCCATTTCTCTACTCTCACTCTCCACAGCAGACAATGTGAGGGCGCCGGGGAGCCGGGGAGCCGGGGAGCCGGGGCCATGAGCTCCCTGCAGTGAAAGCAAAGACGGAACGCCATCAGCCCACCAGCAAAAAGAAACTAAGACCACTAGGAGTCTGTCAGCCGAGGTACCAGGCGAGGGATGCCTCCTGCATCTGGTGTTCATATTTAAACGACCTCTGTGGTCCAGAAAACCACAAGCCAGTTAAGTCACCCAGGCATGACGGTGCCTAGCAGAACTAAATACAAATTATTCTGGATGGACACACCCTTAACCGTGGGTCTCAGAGACAGAAAAGAAGGGATCCTCTCTCCCTTTCAAAACTGAAATCAGAGCAAGGCCAGAAGCCAGAATGCCATGCTGATGGCCTCCATGGCCACACAAGGAAACCTGCGTGTCCCTCACTGTCTAGCAGCCCAGTACCCACAGAAGAGGCCCTGAAGAAGTTGCAGGATAACACTACACTGGTGTCCCTTGCATCTCCTCCAGGTTGTGAAGGTGAAGTAGCTCTGTGACAAGGTCAGTGCCCTGGTCAGGTCTGTGTTTCTGTAAAAACACAAAATCCATTCTAATCGAATCCCAAATTTACAGCACACGCATGCAAATAAGTCAGAAACAAATGGTATTAGCATCCTTTCTCAAGAATTTTAAATGACTAGGTATTTCTGAATCAAATAAAAACTGGAATAAAAAAGTGAACAAGGCATAAAACTTAGAGCAGGCATTTGAAAAACAGCCAAATAACTTCCAGATAGGAAAAATTTGATTACTGAAACTTAAACTCTGGGCAGAAGAGAACCAAAGAGAAACTTAGTAAAGTAGGAGACAGACTGAATAAATGCCCCATTATACAGCAAAGAAAAAGGTGGGAAATAGGAAAGAGCTGAAGAGATGAAAAATGCAAAAGTTCACACAGTTCCAAAACGAGAGAGTGTGGGAGCAGCCATCTTCAGAGACTTGCTGAAAGACCTGAGGTCCCAGATTTTGGATGCAAGACGGAGAAGAAACCCTGACCAGCATCAGTTACAGTGAAATTGACGGCCTCAAAAGAGAAGGGCAGAGGAGGAGAGACAACAAAATACACTGACAGCGTCTGAACAATAAAAGCAGAAGACAATAATAAATTCAAAGAGGTGAGATAAACGTCAGCTCTCAAATTATATTATCACTGAACAGCATTTAAGATCAAGTGAAAGACAACCCGCATGTCAGACAGAAGGACCTGCCTGCTCTCACTCCGGGGAGATGGTGGTGAATCCCAGAAGGGGGTCTGAGATGCAAGAAATTTTAAACAGCAAAATGTCTGTAAGTTTGTGAGTCACTATAAAACCTTGAATAAAGTACTCGCAGAAGTGTACGATGTGGGGGATTTACTCCAGCAGAACTGAAGGCCTGGGCGATGACGACAGGAGTGGAAGGCTGCGATGAGGGTTGCAGCCGTGTAAGGATCCTTGTTTTATTTGGGGGAGAGAGAACTGGATTGTCTTTAGGCACCACAAAGTCATACAAGTACAGCACTAAAATAAATGTTGAATAGTACGTAATTCTTACTTTGAGCTGGGGGAAGGTTTACTATAGTTTAATGACCCCACTTTAGTGGCAATATCCAAAGCAGCGTAGCCGGGAACCAGGCCAAGTCCACCTTCTCTGCATCAGACCTGACCAGGGCACTGACCTTGTCACAGAGCTACTTCACCTTCACAGCCTAGAGGAGATGCAAGGGACACCAGTGTAGTGTCATCCTGCAACTTCTTCAGGGCCTCTTCTGTGGGTACTGGGCTGCTAGACAGTGAGGGACACGCAGGTTTCCTTGTGTGGCCATGGAGGCCATCAGCATGGCATTCTGGCTTCTGGCCTTGCTCTGATTTCAGTTTTGAAAGGGAGAGAGGATCCCTTCTTTTCTGTCTGTGCTATCCTCTTGAGGGCAAGAGTATAACTTTTAAAACAAAGGAGAGAAAAAAAATGGACTGAAAAGAGTAGGAAAATAGCACCAAATAAGGTGGTAATGAAGTCAGCTATGTCAGTAATCACAATAAATGTAAATGAACCAAATTTGCCAGTTAACAGAGATTATAAAACTGGATTACAGCCCTGGCCGGTTTGGCTCAGCGGCTGGAGCGTCGGCCTGTGGTCCAGAGAGACCCGGGTTCAGTTCCCGCTAAGGGCATGTACCTCGGTTGCAGTTTGTCCCCGGCCCTGGTTGGGTCGTGTGGGTGGCAGCCACTCGATGTGTCCCTTTCATGTCGATGTTTCTCTCTCTCTCTCTCCCTCCCACTCTATCTGAACAAAATATTGAAAAATGTCCTCGGGTGAGGATAAAAAAACAAACAAAAAACGGGATTACAGTGATTAAATCTAGCTATATTCTGTTTATAGGAGACACTCCTAAAACAAAAAGAAACAAGTAACATTTTTTTAAACATGGAAAGTAAGCAATGTAATAGCTATAGTATATCAAACAAAACAGATATAAGAGGAAACAAAAACAACACTGGGCTAAAGAGTTATACTGAATGATTTTTTAAAGGTTCAATTCTCCAGGAAGATATTTCAAAATTTCTGTGTGACTATAAAAATGGCTAGGATCATGAGAGTTAACTATACCTTTTTGAAAACTGATAATTAAGCAATTCAAAAAATAGTAATAGGGAAATTTGAACAACCTCATTAACAGGCTTGATGAAATGGACACATACAGAACCCATGACTATCATTTAGAATCTTGTTCTCAAGTACACATGAAACATGTAGAAAAATTATCTGTAATGGCCCATAAAATAAGTCCTGAATTTTATATATATCCCATTCTCCAACCACAACTAAAATTTAATCAGAAATCGGTTAACAAAAGGTAACTAGAAAAACCTTCACACATTATTTTAAAACAAACTTCTAAACAGTTCATAAGTCAAATAGGAAATCTTAAAGGAAAATTATACCCAGAAACTATTATATATCAAAACATGTAGAATAATGTTAAAATAGTACCCTAGTGAAAAATTAATAGTTTTGACTACCTTAAGAGAAGTCTAAAAATTGAGTCTAAACGTACAACTTAAATTAGATCAAAAAAATAAAAATTAAATGAAAAAAGCTCAGAACATGCCCACCACTAAAGAGAAGAATGAAATAAAGATACAGTAGAAAGGAAGAATAAAACTAAAAGGTGATTCTCTGTTGAAAACATTTAAAAATGAATAATTTAAGATTCATCAAAAAAAAAAAAAAAGCAATGAAAGGCCCAAATTAAGAATTTGAGGAATGCAAAAGCAAACCTAACCTTCAATATGGCAAAAGCTTAAAAGAGTACTATGGATAACGTTATGCTAGTATATTTGAAAACAAGACACACTGATCAAATTCCATGGAAAATTTGCTAAAATCAACAATAAACAGGAAGTCACTAACTGCCAGAGAAAAGGACCAGGTAGTTCTTCCCACACAGAAATCATGGGTCTTGCTGTCAGAGGCAGCTTCTTTCCACCACTCAGGAGACACACGATGAGACCACCATGTGTGTGCACAGAAAATTCCAGTCCTGTTTAGCCATCAGTTCTCACTCAATCTAGAAACTTAAGGCAATTTCCGTCAAACTCTGCACAGGGTTTCTCACAGAACTTGAAAATCTGACATTAAAATTTACAGAAGACAAAGAGCCAAGAATAGCCAAGGCCACGCTGAAGAAAACGGATGTGTGAATGTGTAGAGGTGCAGGGATGGCTGCCACAGACATCAGGCCTCGCTGTCAAACGGGGTTCTCAACCTAGCACCACTGATACTTTGGACCAGATAATTCTCTGTTGAGGGGCTGTCCTGCACTACAGGATGTGTCAGCAGCAGCCCTGGCCTCTACCCACTAGAAGGGTGCCCCAATCGGCAAGCGAAACTGTCGCCAGACATTACCAAATGTCCTCTCTGGGACAACAGTGCTCCCAGCTGAGAGCCACTGCCTGAAGAAGCAGAATTACAACGGTGCGCTCTGGGCGTGGGGCCGGGGAGAGCCTGGAACAGAAGGAGCACCCAGGACACCCCCACCTGTGGAAATGGTAAGAATGACGCAGGGACAGATGCTGGTGCGTGAACAGTTCCTGCTTTGGAAAAAGACTAAAATTCGATCCTTACCTCATGACATAAACAAAAGTCAAGTGACGTGGACTTAAGAGCCAAATATAAAATGAAAAATCTAAAACTTTTAGTAGGATGCTCTTGTAACTTGGAGTCATATCAAATGTATACTATATCTTTCTAACTCAAACCATTTTATGTGTCTGGACTAGTTCTTACATTTTTTTAAAACTCTAAAGCAAATATGGTAAAATATTAACGTTAAATCTGGAAACAGGCATGTTACATTACTTTCAGTTCTTTTTTTAAAAGTCCTACTTAAAATAAAAACCAGTCCACGTCAAAGTTCTAAATAAAACCATCATGAGGAGATAATCACACAAAGTTAAAATCATAAGCCGGCAATTAAGTTACCTCTTCTAACTTAATTTTCTCACCAGCCCCGACATCGCCTCTTCTTTCCCCGGGCAGCGAGTGCACTCGGCAACCCCAGGGGCAGTCGGTATGTGAGGGCCAGGGGCACCCCGGCTCCAGAGGCTGGCCCTGCTGAACCCAGCTCAGCATAGACGCACAGGGCCCCGAGCGCTAACTGTGGGGACGCCCAGGTACAGACCAGGGCACCTCACAGTGATCTGGATGTGACTAACCGCAATGCCAACCCCTGGCACTCAGCAAGCAAACGAGACCGGGACGTGCTTCTGCAGAAAGCGGGAGCGGGTGGCGCGGAGACAAGCCTGGGCCGGCTCTCACCCAGCACCTGGCCCTGTCCTCGGCGCTGCCTCTACTCCTGGGCCGGCTCTCACGCAGCACCTGGCCCTGTCCTCGGCGCTGCCTCTACTCCTGGGCCGGCTCTCACCCAGCACCTGGCCCTGTCCTCGGCGCTGCCTCTACTCCTGGGCCGGCTCTCACCCAGCACCTGGCCCTGTCCTCGGCGCTGCCTCTACTCCTGGGCCGGCTCTCACCCAGCACCTGGCCCTGTCCTCGGCGCTGCCTCTACTCCTGGGCCGGCTCTCACCCAGCACCTGGCCCTGTCCTCGGCGCTGCCTCTACTCCTGGGCCGGCTCTCACCCAGCACCTGGCCCTGTCCTCGGCGCTGCCTCTACTCCTGGGCCGGCTCTCACCCAGCACCTGGCCCTGTCCTCGGCGCTGCCTCTACTCCTGGGCCGGCTCTCACCCAGCACCTGGCCCTGTCCTCGGCGCTGCCTCTACTCCTGGGCCGGCTCTCACCCAGCACCTGGCCCTGTCCTCGGCGCTGCCTCTACTCCTGGGCCGGCTCTCACCCAGCACCTGGCCCTGTCCTCGGCGCTGCCTCTACTCCTGGGCCGGCTCTCACCCAGCACCTGGCCCTGTCCTCGGCGCTGCCTCTACTCCTGGGCCGGCTCTCACCCAGCACCTGGCCCTGTCCTCGGCGCTGCCTCTACTCCTGGGCCGGCTCTCACCCAGCACCTGGCCCTGTCCTCGGCGCTGCCTCTACTCCTGGGCCGGCTCTCACCCAGCACCTGGCCCTGTCCTCGGCGCTGCCTCTACTCCTGGGCCGGCTCTCACCCAGCACCTGGCCCTGTCCTCGGCGCTGCCTCTACTCCTGGGCCGGCTCTCACCCAGCACCTGGCCCTGTCCTCGGCGCTGCCTCTACTCCTCACACACACAGCGTCCCTGCTCTGTGCGGCCTCCAGCTCACCGCTGTCCAAGTGGTCACAGATGTCCCTGCACCCTTTACTCGGATCCTTTTCTGGATAAAACTCTCCACGCCTCTGTCTTAATTAAAAAATGATGCTTTGGAAAGTGAGAAAAATTCAGACTGCTATTTCTGATTTAGCAGAATGAGTCCAAAATACCATGTTCACTGTAGAGATTTTTATTTTGATTGCTTCTTCAAAATTGAACGTCCCCATGTTCAACCTAGAGATGACACACGGTGAGGAGGGATGTGACGCCCCGGCCGGGCGTCTGAGGGACTGCCCGAGTGTCGCTGTCTCCCCAGCTCTAGCTGATGCAGAAAGCTGAACACCCACATCCTCCAATTTTCTTCTTTAATGCTTTTGAAACCACACACATTGGCAGCATGTCTCCGACTCTAATTCTTTTACCTTAAAATAATATGAGCCCTACACTTCTTTAAAACTTGAAGAAAATTATTTTTTAAGAGTTCCAAATTTTAAAAAATTCAATTACTTAATGTTTAACTGATCCCGTCCAGCAAATGCGAAGGAGCACTTTGCCCGGCGCTGCACTGCGCTGGCCCCGAGGACCCTCGTCACGCCCGGGCCCGTGTCGGGCTCACTGCCAACAGAAGCGGGTGCTCCCAGACCGGGCGTGCTAGGCATCACCCCATCAGGCTTTGCGTGGGTCTCCCTGAGAAGGGGAGCGTCTTCAGAGATGCTGCCATTTTCTGTTTGCCTCCTCTGGGCCTAGAAGTGTGCTGAACGTGTAGCAGGTGCTCAGGACATGTCGGCTGAACTAAACTGAACAAGGGAAGAGTTCAAGTGTTTAGCAAGAAGGATTTCTATTCCTGTCCTCTTCAGTGTCTCACCTCCTCTTGGTGTAACGTCTCATTATGCTCAAACCCGAGGGTCAGGTTGGCCAGGGTGTGTGTGAATGGACTGCATGTCTGTGCTCCCCTCAATTCCTATGTCGAAGCCCTAACCCTCCTTGTGATAGTATTTGGAGGTGGGGCCTTTGGGGCATGATCAGGTTCAGATGAGGTCATGAGGGTGGGGCCTTCACAATGGGATTAGTGCCCCTAAGAGACACCAGAGAGGTGCTCTCTCCGTGTGAGGGCACAGCGAGAGAGGAGCCAGGGAGAGAACCCCGACGGAACCCAATCAGCCAGCACCTTGCTCTGGGGCTTCCAGCCTCCAGAACTATGAGAAATAGGCTTCCGCACGTCAGCCACACGCAGTCTGTGGTGTGTGTTACGGCGGCCCGAGTGGACTAAGACGGTCCGTCTCAGCGCCTGCCCATGACAGCACAGCTCTGAGAGCAAACGGGGACAGCTCCCAGCACCAGCACCAGCACTGAAGACCCTGAACATGACCATCCTGGAGGGCACGGGCAGGCTGACTTGTACATGCAGACTCCAGATCAGTGGGTACAGAGGACAGCTGACTGGAGATAACGGGGTTACACTTCAAATCTACATTACCACTCGTTTTCCCTACACTTTTTCCTTCCTCGTCTTTGATTTCTTTAACCTCTCCTGGGGGTGGACACACAACTGACCGACGAGGAACAGAGTGAGGGTAGCAGACAGACGGGGCTGCAGTGAGGACCTGGGTACAGAGGACAAGGGCCAGGGCCAGGCAGACCAGGGAAGACTATGACAGCTGAGCACAGAGAGGTCAGGGAGAGGAGGGGCTTCCAGAAGGGGAGGTGCCAGGAGGACAGAAAGGGGGCGCGAGGAAGACGCTTCAGCACGGTGTCTGGCCGGCCTCTCAGCGGAGAGGAAAGCGGACGCTGCACAGGGCTCCCTGCAGCCCCGCTGCCCGCCGCTCCCGACTCGGCCAGGAAGGGAGGCTGATGGAGGAGCCCGTCCCTTACTGCTCTGCCCCTCAGTTTGCTCCTGGGAGGACCTATGAGATGCAGCCTAACATCTGTGCCTCTAGGACTTGATCACAGCACCAGTTACAGAGGTCCAGCTAGGACCCACCCTGCCAAAAGAAGTTTTAATAACACTGGGGAAAGATCCCACACAGTATTAAGAAAATGTAGATATAAAGACAGACAGATGTATAGTTTGGTAGCAATTACATAAATGGACTCTCCCACATAGACTGGAAAGAACCTCTCTAAAGTGTACTAGGAATTATTCTGTGCTGTAGAATTATGGGTAATGTTTCTTTTGTCTTTTTTTCTCTAACCTGTTATGTTTTCTAAATATCTTCAACTAAAGCCCAGAACTATAGAAAGAGGCAAAAACAATAGCAAGACAAATTCGATGCGTCCACTCTGACTCTGGGGGACCTAACCCCACGCCCCACTGGGGTGCAGCACCACACATCTGCACACGCCCCAGAAGCCCGCCCTGCCCCAGCCCCCGCCACCTGCCTCGCCTCTCTGCTATCTGCAGGTAGCCCGTGGAGAGGTACTGCTCCATGTCCTGCTGGAAGGCTTCCTCAAAAAACTTCTGCCGCTCCTTCAGCTTCATTTGCTGGCTGTGCTCCATTTCCAGGACCTTCTGGGTGTGCTCGGCATCTAGTTCAGCTGAGGAAACAGAATAATGTGGGTCAGGACTGAGAAGAAACTGAGACAGGGAATGGGCATAAATACTCACTCATATCTGCCTCCTGAGCTGACCATGTCAAACCCTGGCAGGTGCCCGACTGCAATACAACCACCGCCCCTCCCCCAGTCAGCTGCACTTGTTCCTGCTGCCTTTGCTCATTCTGTTCCCTCTGCCTGGAATGACCTTCCCACACACATCTCCCACTCCTCCAGGAAGACATGCCCGTCTTTCAAGACTGACTTCTCAGTTAATCCCTCAACTCAGGTAGAATTTGCTACTCCATCCTGAGGTTTCCGTGACACCGATCAAACTTCTGTGGCTGACATATGCGTTACAGTACAACAGGTAAAGACTCAGACTTCCTGGAGGACTGTGCACATATGTAATTCACTTTAATATCTTAGCACCCAGCTCAGGGCCCAGTACACAGTAAGGACTCAACAAATGTTTCTCAAAGAGCAAGAATGTAGCCATTGTGGTCTAGCAGAAAAGTGTCTGGTCTTGGCTTTGGTGTTTATTAACTGTGCAACCTGGCTAAGTAGTTAGCCTTTCTCAACTGAGAATTTGGGACAGAAATATTAACCCAGTATTAATACGAAACTCAAATGAAATACTGTGAAAGAACTTAGTAATTAAAATGAGCAGTGATCCTTCAAGACAGGGCTGAGGAAGTAAGAAAATAATGACCTCAGCCTGGCTGACACCCTGACTTCAGCCTGTGAGACAGAGCAGAGAAGCCAGTTGTCACTCCAGGCCTCGATTTCTGACCTATAGATGGTGAACCAATCTGTGATGTTTTAAGCCATTAAGTTTGTAGCGATCTATTATGCGCCAAGACGGGATACTCCAAATAAGGTGTTTCTATAAATTCCAGCCCCTGCCCAAATTTGACAGGCTGAAGAATCGAGAAAAGGGCAACTTGAATTCTTTACCTTAAACATTTTACAACACCGAGACTGAGGTAGACGCCATGCTTGGTTGGGTTTGGCAGGAGAACAAAGTTTCAGCTGCCTTACTGTCCTGGGACAGATATGGGACCCGAAACACTGAGAAATAATCTCACCCAACGCACTGCACTGCTCCCTCAGGCTCATCTCTGGGGAGTGGCAACAACTTTGGGATATTAGAACTCATACAGCTAGAAAACAGAGCAATCCTAAAACAAGATCTGATCTAAAAAATGCACAGAGGCTCAGAATAGACATTTTTCCAAAAAAGACATACAAATATCCAACAGGTATATGAAAAGATGCTCAACATCAGTAATCATCAGGGAAATGCAAATCAAAACCATGGGACAGCACCTCACACTTATTAGAACGGTAATCATAAAAAGACGAGGAGTCGCAAGTTGGCAAGGGTGTGAAGAATAGGGAATGTCTGTTCATTCTTGGTGGTCCTGGAAAACTGGTGCAGACACTATGGAAAACAATATGAAGGTGCCTCAAAAAATTTAAAAAAGATCTACCATCTGATCCAGCCATCTACTTCTGGGTATTTAGCCAAAGGGAATGCAAACAGGATATCAAAGAGAGCTAGCTGTACTCACGTTTACTGCAGAAGCATTCACAACAGCCACAACAGAAAACTGCCTCAGCATCTGTCAGTGGATGGATGGCTAAAGAAGATGTGTACACACACAACAGAATATCATTCACCACGAGAAAGAAGAAAATCCTGTCATGTGAGAGAACATGGATGGGCCTTGAGGGCATTATACTGAGATAAGCCAGACAAATATTGCATGAAAGCACTTGTATGTGGAATCTAAGAGCCCAACTTGTAGAAACAGAGCAGACTGGCGGTTACCAGGGCTGAGTGGTGGGGACTTGGGGAGATATTGGTCAAAGGTACCAACTTGCAGTCAGAAGATGAGTAAGTCCTAGGGATCTAATGTCCAGCACTGTGCTTATGGTCAACAACATTGTATTAAATACTTTAAAATTTCTAAGACTAGATCTTAAATGTTCTCAACACACACATACACACAAAAACAATTATGTAAAGTCATGGAGGCATTGCTAACTCTATAGTGGTATTCATATTACAATATATAAATGTATCAAATCAATGTTGTACGCCTTAAACTTACACAACATTATATGTCAATTATAAACCCTCTGGGATGTTACCAAGACATTTTTTAAATAACAACAACAAAAAAATAACAATCACCGCAGTCCGCACAATGAGCAGTGGTCTACAAGCCCCTGCGGCTGATCTGCCTTAGTCACCGCCCTCCCCCACAAACAGCCAACACCAACTTCCACAGCTCCTGAGTTCTATTTAATCCTGTAGGCATGACATGTCTAAAAAACTTGATAATGGAGTATATTTTTAATCCAAACTGATTATAGTCTCCAATACTTAGAATCTTCTGGGCATTCTTCTATTCTAGTCTACATATATGCAAGAAATACCAATTAATATTAACCAAAGCCACACAAACAGGAAAGCAAATCTTCTCGAGCACAGATTTCTATGTCTAATATTGACTATGTGCACGAGATTCACACTCGTGTAATCACTATGTGCATTCTCTGTATGCCCACGTCACCCTAACTTACACACCCATCTCATATCTTTGTTTACAGGGAGATGTAATCTGTCAATCACTCGGGCTGGGGTCCTGTCCATTTTAGCAGACTCCTCTGGTACCTAAAGCCACATCCCCTCAACCTACCTCTGGTTTCAGCTGCAACTCCAGGAGGCAGCTCTTTGGGATCTCCTGTGTGTGCCCACGAGGTCGCACCTCAAGGCCATGCCTGTGCATCTCTCTGACTTTCTGGTCAGAGCTGTCTCTGAATCATGGAACCGACAAGCCAGCATAACCCCGAAGTTCTACAGAATTAGCAGCTTTCACCCATTGGGTGACAGAAGTCAGTGCACCAAAGCCCCAGTCTCCCATCCTTTGGTTGCGCAAGTCTAGGAGGCATTCTGAACATTTCTCAGAGACGCTGGAAGAGCTGCAGACCCTCAGCTATGGCAGCAACTTGAATAATACAATAACTTCTTTGGCTTTTCCTCCTTTGCTTGCTCTCTCTGCTCTCTCACTCCTGTTCCTGGGATCACCTCCCAAACAAACTTCCTGCAGCAAAATCCGTATCTCAGGCTCTGCTTCCAGAGGAGCCCAAGCCAAGACGTCTATTACTAGCTATAATTCTCTCTCAGTGTCTCAACCTCCTTCTCTGTACAAGAAAGGTAAAACACCAATTTCATAAGGCTGCTGTCAGGGTTACATGAGGTAACACGTGAATCACCAGACACACAGCACTGACCAGTAGCTGACAGCTAATATTAATACCAGCATTATTTAAAGCAGCAGATTCTTGAAAAGGAGAAGATATGAAACATTACCACGAACCAGGCAGGATGAGTATGACGCTGAGAGTCGTCCTAACCCGGCCCCACTCAGAGCTAGTCACCACTGCTCCGTGCCCTGACTAAATTCTGCCAGGAATTCAGTGTGCTCACAAAGGCAGACAAAATGAGCTCTGAAGAGGATCTTTTCCTCTGCTCTTGTCTCATGACTGCCAAGTGCATTAGAATAAGTCAACCCTAAAGTAGATTTGCTGCAAACACTTCACACAAAGTTCAATTAATCTTTTAAAAAATAAGTCCAGAACAAGCAGCTCCAAAACAAAGATCAATGCAGAAATCATCAAAGGGGTTTTCATGAAAGAATGTGTTATTTGAACTGAATTAAGATCTAGAGGCAAAGAGACATAGTTATGTAACTTGGAAACTTATTCTTCTCAAGACTTCGGCATCAAAAGTTCATTTCTCTCATGTTTCTCAATTTTAAGTCCTATAGTTTTTTATCTTAGGTTTTCTGTACTGGAATGAAATCTAACCTCATGTCTCAAACCTCACAAACAGGGAGGTTTGGATTAGGGCACTTAAAATGACTTTAAAAATAGAAAGCAAATAACTGTTTTAAGTTTTAAAACATGTTACACACTTGTTTGAAGTATTTCCAACGGCCCCCACCGGCTCACACTGCCTCAGAGCCCCTCTGGTACCGCAGGGCTATCGCCAAGCTCCTCTCCCCGAACAGTGGTGCAGTCACACGACCCAGCTCTGCACTCCAGCTCATGACGAAAAACACATGGCACACATTAGATCACTGTCCTGCTCGGAGCTGAGAAGGTTCACCCTCAGCTACACTTCTGAGCAAGGATGTTCTAACTCTGCTGTTCGTCCTGGAATCATCGCCAGTTTCCGCCAACAACCAACCACATTTGGGAATAGTGAAGTGATGGAAGGACATTTGAGGGAATATTTCAAATGGGGAGGTTCAGTAGCATGTGAATTTAGAATGACTATGGAAAAGTATAAAGTATGGAGCATCTTCTACAAGAATAAATGATGTCTTGTTCGCATTTAAGATGTCATTTATTCTACTGGGGAAAGCAAGACAAACACAAAGATGCACAGAACGTCAAACGTAGCCTTAAGATTACAAAGAAAAAGCCACAAAAGAGCTGCAGCAGTGTCCACCAGGAGTTGGGAGCAATCATTTAATGCCACGCCACCCAGGTCTGTGTTTCCTTTCATTCAGCTCCAGACCACTGCTCAAGTTTTATCTGACTGCAACTTCCACTTAAGCCACCACCACCAATTTCAAATGGATAAATTACCCAAAACAATAAAAAATCCCATTACCAGTGAAGATGGCATGATCAATTCTCAATTATATGTTTTAATGGGGCAAAAGGGTTCCACAACACATATAAAATATTTTTTAAATCCATCAAGCTAATTTTAGGAACAGTTTCAACCTATCCCACAACTGAACCTTTAGCACGGCTGCTAAGGACTAAGAACAGTGAGGTGCAGGCAAAAGGCCCGCAGCGGCGGGGAGGACAGTCCTCCAGCAAAAGAGCTGACGCAAATCTTTCCAATGCTAAAAGAGAAACAGAATTTAAATGTTAAGAAAAATTCTGGTAATCTTTATATAATATTAAAGATTAAGAGA